TGCTCATGTGAACTAGACTCAGTGAGCAAGGAAGCCAAGGCCTTGACTTCGAAGTGCAGGAGGGCAGGAGGCAAAGCCTCCCCTATTCTCATAGCCGATTCGTCTCCTGATGACAGTGGGCCGGCCCTGGGGTACCACGGGGTCTATCACATGTTGGCTGCCCAGCTGTGGGCAGGTTACTTAAACTCTCTGTGCCTCAGTTTCCTCAGATGTAAAACAGTAAAGGATCTAACACACAGGGTTGTGTTAAGAAATAAATGAAGGACTGTAAGTCAAGTGCTCACAGCAGAGCTCAGCCCTCAGGAGGTGCTAGTGGTTATTTTTCAAGGAGCTGACCTACTCTTTCTGAGAAGACCCTCTTGTGAGCTGGCTCGTAGCTGTCCCCTATGGAACCTGGTGAGGCTCTCACCCTCCTGGGAACAGCAGAGGGCAGATTGCCAAGCCCCACGGCCAGGCCCCCAGGAGGGACCTCCATGCCCTGGTTCTGGCTAAAACAGAACCAGGACTGTTAGAGCAGGCAGATGCCATATGAGCAGAGAAAAGGGGATGCAGGCCAAATGGCAGGAGTTGGGCAAAAAGGAGGATTGTGGGCCAAATACAGGAAATCCTACATCATCTAAACAACAGGGGTCCCTGGGCAGAGAAATAAAAGCAGGAACCTCTGGGCTGACACCCAGTCACACATTTTGGGGTGACAAGTGCCCCGAAGGCCAAGAAAGGTGGGAGAAAGGCAGGAATATCCAGCATCTGAATGTAACCTTTTGCTCATTATGCCCTCATTACAATAAAATTAGCCTTGCAGATTAGAAGTCCCCATCATGCACAGACACCATGACACTTCCAGTCCAGACTAAATAAGGACAAAAATCCCTACCCACCTCGGGAAGGTGGAGTTGGGATGAAAATCAGGGAATAGGACCCCAAACCCATCCCTCCCCAATGAATATTCTGCCTGTTCATTGTTACACTCTCTGTAACCAATTTGCCGAAGAAACTAGGCACAGCTGCTCCCCTGAGCCTGCCCGCTCTCCCCTTGACAGTATATGATCTATCCTTTAATAAATCCCTGCTTCACTTTCTTAACGTCCATGTTCCGTCTCAATTCCTTCTGCGACGAGACAAGAACCTAACCGCCCGCAGCAGGACCGTGTGGCCGAATGATGAAGGACACAGGATTTGGAGTCAGGCAGATCTGGGGTGGTGTCCCAGCTTCTTCCCCTGGTATGATCTAGTCCTTACAACATCCTCCTGAGGCTGGCAGTCACTTTCTTGAACTCCACTTTCCTGTGCTATAAAGTGGTGATAATAGTGATTGTATCACAGGACTGTTGGATCGCTTACCTATGACTGAGTCACAAACAGTTAGTACCCAGTAAACATATAAATGATGATTCATTTCTCCGAAATTTTGGGCTTAAACCCCCAACCCTCTCTTTCGCTCATGAGTCAGTGGATTGGCGCTTTGGGGTGGGCTTCACTCAGGTGGTCTGCTGGGCTTGGCTGGGCTCACTTGGGAAGTCTGTGGTCAGCTGGTGGTCAGTGGCTCGGGTGCCTGGCTGGCCGGTGACTGAGGGAACTGGTGAGCAGGGCCACTTGCCTCCAGTGTGATCTCAGAGTTTCTAAGACCACAAGCGAGTAAACCCAATGCCCAAGCTATTTAGAGCAAGGCCCACGGCTAGATTCAAGGGTGATGAAATTGATGGAAAGGGGGAGAATTTGGCCAGTTTTGCCATCTACACAGTTGTCCTGAGGCTAAAATGAGATCACATAAGCACAGTGCCTGTTAGCCCTCAATTAGTACCTGTGAACGAAAGATACTGCAAGCCTATCAGTAAGCAAAGAATGCTGAAGCCATCAAGTCATCAGAGGCTGCCACCTCCCCCCCAGGGAAGACAAGCCTTGCAGCCCAGCCTCTGCAGCCACTCAGTGGTGCACCCTGAGGGGACTCAGAAAAAGAAAGGACAAGATACTGGCTTTAGATAGCTAGGTGCTTGTCAAAGGAATGAATTCAATGAGCCCAAATGTTTGCTTCCTCCCATCCATAGAAAAGCACTAAATTCTGTAACTTGAGATGCCTGCTTTTCTTTAGATAGCAAGTAATCTTTTATTGTTCCAACTACCTGGTCTTTGTTGTAAAGCTCCTCTATATCCTAGCTCCTCCCCTGCCTCTTCGGAGCAGCACCTCAGAGCGATCTGAGAGGCTGTCATCCCGGCTCGAGTCCTCCGGCCAAATGAAACTAACTAACTCTCAACTTTCAGGGTGCGCGTGTATTTCAGTCGACACACCCAATACGTGTATGGCTAATGGTTAATTTCTCTCTTCCAGTTTTTTGAATAATAAAAAGGTAGATGTGAGAGTAGATATTAAATAGTAACTTTTAATTTTTATGAAACGTCTTGCCTCTGTTTCCTCCCCTATATCACTCTCAGACAGCGATGTCTCAGTAAGGATTTGATGGGGGAATGATGGCTAAGCCATTGTTTTATTTTGCCCCACATCCCGCTTTTCAAAACACCTGAGTCCTGAAGCTGTTTGCAGACTCTCCTTGCGTCATCTCCGTTTCCTCCATCATTTCCTCCATTGCAGCCTCCTGTCTGCCTAGGGGGCTCCTCCGGGCTGGAGTCACAGCTCCAGAGGGCTCTGAGGCCCTTCCAGGTAAGGATGACGAAGGTGGGAAGTCTGGGCACCTGTCTGTGGCTCTGAAAATCTGCAGGCCAGACACAGCATAGCAGACTCCCGGTCGCTCAGAGGAGCTCTTGGCCCCCCATCTGTAAGAGAAAGGAGCCAACCTCCACCTGGCACCTTCTTGAGGCTTCCAGGGGGCTCTGAGCAGCTTCTGGAGTTTCTCAGTGCTGTAGGACGCTGTGGGGAAATGCTTCACGCACTGAACCTGGGAAACTCAAGTCAGTCAGTTACCCACCCTGTTGGAGGATTACGGTGTTACAGAAATGACAGGCCAGTCAAGAAACAAGCACCACTCAAGGGTTGGAGTACTCAGATGTATTACCCAGCGGGCTCAGAGGGGCTTCTGCTCCGAAGCTCTGAGCACCTCCAAGACATGCGCATGAGGTTTTATAGGGTAAGTATTCGGCCAATAGGCATGGAACAGCTTTAGCAGCATTATCATCACAAAAGTGGAGGCAGGGAGGCAGCAAACCAACATTCCAAAGCCAGATATGTATCTTTGAAAACCCAGCTGGCTAGCAAAAAAACATGAACAGCAAACCAACACTAATTAACCTAGATTTACAAGTTAGTCTAGCAGAACTCAGATCAGTATTCCAATACTTAGATCTGTGAGTTATCTTGTTAGCATAGCCCAGCCTCTCCTTCACATTCCTAGACTTGTGAGTTCTCTTGTTAGAACAGCCCGGCTTTTCCTTCACAACGGGGGCTCAGTCTCAAAACCTAGATGGTCCAAAACATAAATAACTTGAGCATCCTCCCTCAACCCTCAGACCCTGTCAAACAAGAAGGGGGACCTCTGGAGCTTAAATGTCAGGCGACCTCCTTCCTCTGGGGCCAGGACACCAAGGAGGGGAGTAGGAGATGAGAGCCCCTCTCCTGAGCTGGCTCACAGCACCCTCCCCTCACAGCGGGGAGAAGGACTTCGGAGCAGTCCCTGGGCCAGGTGCTTTACACGTGTTCTCTTGTTAGTCCTTACCACATCCTCCTGAGGCTGGCAGGGGCAGACCCATTTTATGGATGCAGATATAGAGGATCAGAGAGCTTAAGATAATTTGTTTTGAGTTCCAAGGTCAAAGATAGAGCATAATTGATTGATGGGGGCGGGCAGAGATTGGGCGCAGCCCAGGAGACAGCTGATGCCAAGTTCTTGGCTCTGTGTCTCATGTCAGGGGATTGGAAAGAGCATCATGCTGGGAGTGTGCAGGCCGTGTTCAGGGATACTTTTAAGGAAACTGAGGGTCTTTGGACTTTACCATGGAGGCAGGATTCCTTGAAGTTGCCGAGCCTCAGTTTTCTCACCTGTAAATTGGGCTGCTTGTGAGGATCGGTGAGGGTAGGTGTAGAAAGTGTGCGATCCAGTCTCTGATCTGTTCAGAGCAGGGCTCTGTGTCTTCCATCCTGGTTCCAGGAATCCCACAGGGCGGA